AAAGCAAAATATTAGATAATTTTCCTCTTTGGGGCCCTAGCTCCCCTAGTGATGCTTCAGACTTAATTTGGTTGAAATCCTCTCTGGTGTTTAGGAGGAGATGCGTTTTAAAGCAAATTTAGCTAAGCTCCCCTTCAGTGCCCCGCCCCCCTGACCTCAGGGGTCGAACCAACCTCATTTATTTACGGACCAGGTGAGCTAAAAATGTTAATACTTGAAAAGACTGAAAAACATTACTTACAAATTCAAATTTTACGCAAACCCCATTGACAAACTCCCCAATCCAAAACCCTCTTAACAAATATTTCCAACATCATTCCAATTCCAATCTATCATATTCTTTAAACACAATTTCAATTTCAAACTCAATATAAAAATTATGTTTATCTGACTACATAACATCTTAATGGAGGGCTTTTAAAGACCAATTGTATATATATATATTGTGTATGTATGCCTGAGTCATGGAATTCCCCACGGCCGAGCCCTGAAATGTACAACCCGACACAGTTACACTTTACTTACCCTGACTAATACTCCCCGAAATGTTATCTTCCACTTGTTACCCTTGAGAATTCAAAATCGTCGATAATTATTCATTGTATGGCCACCTCTCAAATCGAGTGTACCACTGTAGTAATATAATGTGTCTTTAGTTTGAACTGAGTTTACATTGTCAGTATATGACTTATGGGACTGTATATCCTCTTTTTCCATTAAAATTCACCTGTCCTCCTCACCCAAGATCTACCTGTAGTTTTTACCTGAGAAGTACATGAACTCCCACATACACACACCCTATACTACCTGAGCAGCAATCATTGCCCCCAGTAAGTGATCACTGTAAGAGTGATCGTCCCCAGTATGGGCAAACTAAAACTGAACAGGTACTGTAGCTATCCTAAAAAACGATCATCATTATTACATGTATGGTAAATGTCCTAATTTTTTTTTATCATCTTTGGGATTTCAAAAAAAGACTACAGTAAATAACGATGTTCAAGTAATTATATTGCAGAAGAAATATTACATATTGCTTATCCTAATAACAGCACCATATCAATTCATACACACGCCAATAGAGAGATTTTGCCCCCCCCCCCCCCCAATCCCACCCCTCCCAAAAATAAACATGCAATACAAAATACCTTATTTGTCTCTGAAAAGAAATGTTGGTGTTTTCATTAATTATTTCACTCACTGACTAAATAATGTCCCAAATATATTTACCACCAATTAAAGAAAATTTCCATCTTTTGATAAATTCTTCATTTTGTGCATTCAAAGTTTATCTTTTACATGTATAAGGAATAAAAACATCGAATTAACTCTGATAATTCTGAACACAACTACAATTGTTATCAACACAATTTTTTTTTTTTTAACAACTCTAGCGAAACAAATTATATAGTGGTATACGTTTTAATTAATCTATTACTTACGTTTTAATTAATTTATTACTTCAAAACTTAAGTACATTTACCATGGTAACAAAATCCACATGGCACGTCACACTATATCTAATCCATTATTGTCACAAAATGTCTAGTTCAGGGTCAGAACACGTGCCTACTGACCCCAACAGGGCAACTGACTTTTTTTTAATTGAAAAGGAATTTAAAGCAAATATTTTGCCCTGTATTTATTTTAGGGGATTTAACTTCTTTCTACACCAAATTTTGACAAATTTGCTATAGGCAATAAGGGTTGGGTCAGGGGAAATGGAGAAGGATTATTGCAAACAGAGATGGGAGGAGCGAAGAGGAACAAGAAAATTGTCAAGGGTATATATACTCCAATATCAAATATGCCTTTCAAATTTTTAATTAAAATAATAACAGCTTTCATAGTCGGAATTATAATTCAAGTACTCAAGGCAGTTGTTTATCTAACGACTAGACAACCTACTTCAATAAAACAGCTGTATTTGTAAGGTGCCAAATCTTAGATGCAGACATTGTTTTCAGTTAAATACATTCAGATGTTGGAATACTCTGGTTTCCCACACAGGTTTAGTCTGACCACAAGAATTAAATTCAATTGGTACAAAGTGGATTTGATAACTGAATTATTAGATTACCTAAAGAGATTACTTACAAGATTACCCTAGTTAAAAGTATTAAAAAAGAGCGGTGTTGGTCCTTTTAAATTGCATACCAACTTTTGAAGTTTGAATGCAGCCTTGAATAGCACGATTGTATTTGCCAGACTGAAATATTTTCTTGTCTGTGTCGAAGAACAGGAATTTTCACGATTTGAAATAATTTTATTCAAATCAGTTTAATAACGGGGTATAGTTATGTCATGAATTGAAAGGCAGTTATTCAAAATTTGAATATTTACATATCAATAGGTTTGAAGAAATCTGCATTTTTCTATAACTGAAAAAAAATATGGTAAAATGAATGCCGAAGGATAAGACAGAATGCTAGGAACAGTATTTTGAGCGATCACATTTTGGTTGTGAGCTTCGTCCGATTTAAGTTGTTATATACCCTTGTCTGAATGTCAATGATTAACCTCTTCAACATCAAGTATGATGAGTCAGATGTCGTGAATATGAAATCATTTTCATAAAATGATATTTGAAGTGTACATCTTTAGTGGGTCTTATTACGAACGCTTAAAATTCATACGATTTAAGAAATATATGGAAAGCACACACACACACACACACACACACACACACGTCCCATTCAAAACAAGCATGATATATTCTCATTAAGAAAACAGGCATGATACATTCTCACTAAGACTAGAACTAAATATCTTTATATCGTAAAGTCATTCAAACGTGTTATCCACGCAGACTGTATCAAATTTCTACCGCAAGTATCAATATCAGAAATTTGAAACCGACAGCTACTGGATACCTTGAGCATATAGACAGACAAACCTTCAATGTTGTACGTTTTGTCTGGGTTATCGCCATTCCAATAATATTCGTGTAACTGCCACTGTGTACCTTTCAAGCCTGTGAGAAATACGAGACCTTTGGTGACCTTTGGTGACCTTAGCCAACCTTTTGCCTTTTTCAGTGCTTGTTAGTTTCAATTGCTACTGAGACTGTGCAGTATGACACACATGTCCTCATTTTTACAAAATAGGGGTCCCCTGAATATTAAAAGTTTATACGTGTTATAGTTTCTGCATTTTATTGACAAGTTCAACACTAAGTGAATGGTATACACACTAACAAGAAGGGGGGTTACGAAGCGCGGAGGGCAATGGTCGGGAAAGACAAAAGAAATTAAATTTGTCTCTCGCCCCCTTACGTGGGCCAGGTTATATGACCTATACAGAATTTACTCCAAATTTGAATTTTCATCATTTTAAATGTCATCTTAAAACTTGAATATCATATTGTCAAGTTTCATTTTGTATCCTGACTCAAGAAGACAAACACGAACATATCGCAGCCTCCCAAAACACACTCGCATACACTACACCCATGCATCTCGCACACATGGGAGGCCGTCCTTAAATGACCATAGCTGTTGATAGGACGTTAAACAATACCAAACCAAACCAAACCAATTATAAGATAACTTTCCTCTTATATGGTAACGCATATAACAACTAAAAACCGGAAATATTTCAACAAACTTCTCCAATCCAAATGCATCAAAAAAAAAATCTAAATTCTTAACATAGATTATACAATGAATTTCACACTTTCTAATTTTTTGGCATTCTTGAATAAACTAGTTTCAATTTTATAATGAGTAGAAATTTTGTTTGAAAGTCCAGCTGTTTTTTTATCCTCTGGGCCGTGCCCAATAGCTACACAAAATAAATCGTTTTCCAAATTTGTAATTTCTGTGTTTCTATTGAGGATGTGGTTTTAACTAAGTCTTAATTGAGGCATTCATCTGCGAAGAGAAAATAAATAAATAACAATCTCTGGTAACATTCCACGTTCATTAAATGTAAACATGAGGAAAACAATTGACAGCTCGCTATTCACAGTAGATAACAGCACTGAAATTACCCCCAGAAAAATCACCGCGGAATCAAATATATCAAAATTTCGGAGAGACGGAGTAATCAAGGATCATTTAATAAACAAATGCAAGCTTCAAATAAATCAATAACATTTTACCATAGTTATAGAAAAAAATGTATGTGTACAAAGAAGCCGACACTAAATTTAGTGAGAGGTATTTTATGTTCTGTACAGAAATTTTCAGGAGAAAGAAACCAGCGGTATTTTATCGAACTCTTCTCTTTTTTTTGCTGTTACAATTCCACAGATTCCGCACAACAGACCAATTAAATCAATTTATTAAATATTTATCATCATTTACAAAGACACCAGTCACATTTAAAGAGCTGGAGTGTGGTTTTATATCACACCAGTGCATGCAAACTCTTTTGTCGGTAACAGCACACCACACTTCGTGCCACGATTTCCACAATGCCGTAAAACTTGAAAGCGTTGTTTAAGACGAGAACAGATTGGGTTTTATATACAGGGTAGGATTATGAGCATAAAGCAGCATGCCAAGTCCGTAGTCCTTGGCCAATAAAACCAGGATAATTTCATCCATTTTATTAGAAATTCAATAATTTTCCTGCAGAATTGATGGAAGGGCATAGCGGAGAATTATGATGGAGGTACTTCATGGGGAGCTGTGGTATTTTGTGACAAACATATCACGAACGACACAGCGTACCAGCTGGCTTAGATAGAGACAGACTTTACAATAGCATAGCCTCGTCTGTTCTTCCATTTAAAAGAATGTACTTTATGTGTAGATAAATACCCTATGTTGATTGACAGGTATTCAATATCGGCTCCATGGTTGTAAATTTATACCCAAGAAGATACATTCCAACAAAATATTAGCCACCTAACCCATAACCAATATTGAACATGTATGTTTAAACAACCTAGAAAGGAGTACCAAATATTTTTCATTAAAAAATCAAAATCTGCTTCTTGCACACTGAATGATGCTCACTGATATTTCTACGAAATAAAAAAAAAAATCACTTACCATTCACAAAAGATTTTTTTAGTCCGTGTCACCCAGGTAGATCTGAGTGTAAACACAAATAATTGTACGATCCAAAGGATAAATTGAAAGTAAACACACAGGGCAAATCCCTGGGATAACAATAGCTCGGCGACAGCGGTGTAAGGAATCCTCCGATAGATGTGTGCCGTATAGTCGTGGAGAGTCACAATGTAAACACAACAGGATGGTACGTAATACCGTGTCGTAGTAGCGAGTGTATACACATACACGTTACTCTCACCTCTGTACGCTGTGATCCATTGTCTCACACCTCGCCAATTCTAAATAACAATAACGGGTGTATGTACATGAAAACTAACAACATTCCTTGTCCTCGTGTGAGTAATCCGTTTGCTTGTAGTGTCACCGATCACAACTGATCCCTGAGTTGCCTGGTGTGGTACTGGCTCTGTATAGCAGGCTAGGCGTCCGCCCCACTAACAGATGGTAACAGTGCCGGCCCATCTATTCCGATACCCAGCAATACATGCATCAGCGACTCCTGTTTTACAGTCCCGCTCGACCAAAAGAAGTAATTACAACATTGAACTGTGCTCGCAAAAAATTACAGTTGTCTATCACTAGGGTTTAACCACGCGATTTTCTTCCAAATGAATTAAGTGACTAGAGCCATTTAGCATCAGTCTACGGCCAGTTTCAGTTGACTCTGATAGCCCTGGCTAGAGATCTAGAGGACCATTCATTCTGTTGAATGCATACAATTTGATTATCGTTTCAGTTCTAACAATTAAAAACTACTTAGCCTAATCGTACATCGCCAGTTTAAATGATTTCATATTACTTCCCGAGCATTTAATGTTTTAACATTGCCGAAACAAGTTCACACGTTAGTGTTGCAAGACAATAGTACATTCGAAAACGGCACACTCCAACTGTTGAAATACTGCGCCATAATAATTGTGACAATCGTAAATCCAGTGGACGTAATATTTGTTGACAGGCCTGCGGAGCTATTTTCTACGCCTCGATTTCCTGTCAGTGAATGGTAGACAGATCAGATAAAAAAGGTACAGTTAAATGCATTAATACTCGAGCGTAGTTTTCTCCGTGGACATCCAATCAGGCGACAGCTAAAAGCACAGAATTCTTTGTTCTCCTCATCAATAATTAGTGTCAGTTTAAATGCCTGCCTAATTTCCTAGAGTGGATTGGACTCTCAATTCAGTCAGGTGTAAAGGGTCAAGCAGTCATTTTTCAAAATCTTCGCAATAGATTTACTTTCTCTTTTAACACAATGTGAAATCTGATCCTTTAATTCATTAACGTGACATTCCTATAAGGGGGGCACTCCTGTCTCGTCTGATACCAGCAAAAATAGAAACAGATTTTACATATACAATACATCTCCAGCACACACGCAGGCATACACGCATATAGGGAGATATTAGCTAGGTGGCATAGGACTAGTAGCAAGTGCCTGATAAGGCAGCTCCTGCAAATTCCTCAATATTGCATCGATTAATGCATTATTTAATGTTAATGTTAATTGTATAAACTGTATATCTTAGTACTGTAAATAAAGTGTTAAATAGAGGGTCTTATGCTACATAGATAGGGTGTTGTATCAAATATTGTATATTTATCATGTTTCATTGAAACGTGAACTTAAGTTTTAAGTTATCTATAAACAACTATCTTGAACTCAAAACAATGATAAACCTTTTAATTGTCACTATTTGCATAAATCACTGTTTCTTCAATTTCCCCACACTAAGTAAGTCATCGCACCTATCTCGTAACAATCAAAAACACAGTACATTTTTCTTAGGTAAACACAGAAAATGTTTGAAAGAGACCATTTTTTTTTTAATGATAGTAAAATCATCAGCAAGACATTGCTTGTCATTTTATAGACAGGTACAATTTATCGGAAGCAACCCTAGAACAAAGCTCTATCCTGGGCCAGCACTGCCTTAAAAGCTCAATTTTTGACAGAGATGTACCCCACAATAAATCCAGATATTATATGTATATAATCAGAAATACCTATGCCAAAATGATTAAATAACTGCCTATTCATTTATTAATGATCTTTTTTCGATCAACCTTCTACTTGTCTAACTACAAAATCGATAGCACCTTCCTGCCCAGCAGCCGTAACACAAAACCACCAGCAGGCTTTCATGTGCCTTTCACATCTCTTTATAGCAACTTTTCATCCATCTCCTTTAATACGTTTATTTTCGCTCAAATTTCACTTTTTTATCTGTGATTGTCGGTAACAAAAGCACAAAAGACACAATCTCCGGAATCATGTTTTTTACTGCTTTCATTGACATCCTCCAATGCACTCGCGGTACAGTTGGTCACACGTGTGGCAGGTCTCCTACAGTGGTACTTCCTGTCGGAGTGGAACAGGGACGGGTGGCTAGGTAACACGGTGTAGCTTAACTCATTAACCCCTGAACACACATTTGAACTCTTCAAGTTCAAAGGTTGGAATAGTTCATTATGAAATTTCAGGGGTGAATGAGTTGATTTAAGCTCAAGTCTTGTTCTATATAGATTTAATCCATGATACTTTCAAGATTATTTGAACTAAAAACCGAAATTTGGACATTGTAGCAATGAAAGCGTTTACCATTAAACAAATAATATGAAAATATAAATATTTTTTGCAGATATTAACCTTTGATATTTTTGTGTTGACATATGATTTTATGTTTGCCAGGCTTTATATAATTGGTCTCGGTAATGAATACAAAAGCCTCACAATGATGGCAATTGTATGCGAGGAAACTTTTTTTACCTCCTCAGAACCTAATGTATAATGCTACATTTAAACTCTTAGGGTTTGTTAACACGGACAGTTCTATAAATCTGTCATATTGATACATGTAACAGGTATACAGCCTACTGTGATAATGGGGAAGGCAGAATCAAAATTATATCAAGTCAACATAGATAATAATTTAATACGACAGAAAACCTTTCACCAACCCAAATTAGGAGATATGATGCATGAAGACTGCATTTCACTGACTATTTGCTTAAGCCGTTCCACATAGAGGCTTTTGAACTTAACTTTTCAATTGTGTAATATTTTCATCTATTGGAGCTTTTGTGTAGCTAAAATCCCATTAGAGAAAGCCTGTGTGCTTTGTGACAAAACCCAGTATGTGGACGAGTACGGGCGAGATTTAGGATGGAATCTACCAAATCTGTACAAAGCACATCAGACTTAATTCGCTTCCTATTAAACGGCACATGTTTCAATCATCAAATGCGGTGAAAATATAATATCAAATTTGATAATGTGCATATCGCGTAACAGCTGATCACTGATACTCTGCCAGTTGTCGGCCATCTTTGTTGAATCAAAACATTAAAAGCCACCCCATTCACCTGTGTTTTTTAGAAAAAGTGAAATTTGAGACCAATAACATTACGATATCGATAGGCTTTCCTGTGTGTCATTTTGTAACACGCTGGGTTCGATTGAAAATAACGAGCAATGATTCTGCCACGCCTCGGAGACATCTGCTTCGCCCTCCATACAACACAACCAATCGTATCCTAACCTACAGTTACAGGGACAATAATGCCATTGTTGCAGGGTAACTTTCATTGTTCGTAAAAGTGCACCACAAATCAACAAATGTTTCGTAGCGTCTGCAGTGGAATATCAATGAAACAATTCAAGATTCAAATTAACTATTGTGACTTCAATACCAGTAGCAATTAATTGCACAATTATAATCATAATTATGATGGACATTCTTGAATTTATCTACAGATCAGGGAAAACAATATTTATGAATATCTTGAAATTTACAACCAGAATAATTTTGCTGTAACCTTTCCTTGGATGTTTATATGATTCTGTATCATTTGTAATTGTTTCAAATTTTTATGGTGATGGGATCATTATGCGAGTCTTATCTGGCAGATATCCAGACTTACGTCAATCACTCCGTACCATCCATACACAAGTCGTTTGAATGACTGCATTTAAAATTATAAATCCGATAAATTTTATAGTAGAACCCAGATGTTAAATATTTTTACCAGCTGAATTTGAAGTTATTAGTTATCCTCTCCAGAAGAAAAAAAAAAAAATCAAAAAAATTAAAGTTCTGTGGATTCCTTAGCAACGTCTGATTGTAATTTTAATGACATGTTAAAATGAATTTGGATATTGTGACATTTTACTCATTCACCCCTAAAATTTCATTATGAACTAGTCCAACCTTTGAAATGGAAGAGTTCAAATGTGTCTTCAGGGGTGCATGAGTTAAGCCAACAATAAAATTCCAGGTTAATAAGTCACTTAATTATCAGTTGTTTATATTTTGCCGATGTTATATTTTGCCATTACATCATGAAGTGGCCATTGTATAATTATAACACTGTATACTGCGAATGACATCCGGAATATCTATTTTTGCATTAGATTATATAGAGTACATTGTAAATTTAAAAAATCCAACAAGCTACCAGGTCACTGGGGATCGACCCAGACTGTTTCACTACAAAAGAAATCGTAGCTAGGCATTCTTATATTACCTAAACTCATTCACCCCTGAAATTTCATCATGAACTATTCCAACCTTTGAATTGGAAGAGTTCAAATGTGTCTTCAGGGGTGAATGAATCAATGACCGATCGTAAGACTTAACTGACCCAGATCTAAGTTCAGTCAAAGGGATAAATATTATCAGGATTTAATTAATTTTGGCCTTGAGGATACTTCCATGAGTTGTCTGTAGAACCTTATGATGTGACTGCTAACTGAAACAGGCGACAGGTTCTACCTGTACCATCGATTAAGTAACCAAGACTGGTGAAACAAACGAAGGAGTTGTCATCAATGATTAATGTATCATTCGTTTAAACTGTTTTGATGTCACAATAAAATGACGTCTTTTAATTATTGTGATGTCATAATCAAAATGCATATCAAAAGCCTTAAAATTCCTTACATTAATCAATGTGCGAGATACAGTCCAGAAACCAATACTGTACAACATGAAAGGTTCGTTGTGTATAAACATTTGTAGAAAATACATACAACACATTTGAATGATATATATGTGTCTATTGTTTGTTAATATAGGATATCCACGAAAGTTTGTACCACGAAACGATCTAAATAGCTTCAAACCACGAAGGAAACTACCCACAAACATTTCGTGTTATACAGGATATAATCACTTGATATCAAGGCCAAAGGTCAAATAGATTCAGATTAAGATTCTCTATTACACTCTTGACACACTTGTGGATAATTATAGTAAATACGCATTAAAGTAACTCGCTGTAGAATAATAATGATAATTTATGCAATTTAAGAATAAACTGCAATTGTATGACAATGATCAGCGTGAAATACATAGGTTGACTAATTTTTTAAAAAAGTAGCTCACTCTGGATAATAAGGGTCGATTACAAATTTCAAACATA